TATATATATATATATATATATATATATATATATATAGATGTCACTACAATCTCATATATATATATATATATATATATAGAGTCACACTTCCGCGGCGGTCACTCGCACAATTCACACTCACGCGACTCACGGAAATAAATAGAAACCGTTTACAAAGAGAGAACTTTAATAAGCTCAATAACTATTACACAGCTCGCTTTTACAATCTTTAAGCTTCTCAAAACTGTCCCACCGTCTCTGTCCAATCTCAAATCAAGCGATTGATAAACATAAACAACGGTGCGTTGGCAAGGAACGATCTTCACAACATTACTCAGGGACCAAAAACGAGCGGACCACCACTCGACCACAACAATATATATTGAGCAGGACTCATTTTTCGATAGCTATAATCCTATATACCTGAGGAATACAAAGAACGCCAGCATGTTCCGAAACATCTGGAGTCATCTGGCAGCGCGACGATGCGCTTTGTTAACACAGCTCTAACAGCATGATAGAGTTGCAATTTAAAATTGTTTTCATTATTCTGTGATTGAGAACTAACGATTTAAGCACAAAAAAATTCAATTTTCTTAGACCTCAGAGATGGCCTAACTCCTTAAGAACATAATAACGAAAATAGCTGCAATAAAAAATTTCGTTGTCCACACGTCACTTATATGATGAACAAGAACAAAGATAAGATGAACAAGGATGAATGAGCTTCTATTTTTCACCGCGACGGTACCGTCAACGTGGAGTACTCCAGGAGCTTTAATAAATATTTTATTATTAAAAATGATATTATTTTTGCTCATTAGTCGGTCTTATTCATACTGTATTATCTATTCTGCTGTAATGTTTCGGACGATATTTTTTATAAACTGTCATGCGCACGCGCCCACACACACACACACGCTACGCTACGCACGCACGCACGCACGCACGCACGCACGCACGCACGCACGCACGCACGCACGCACGCACGCACGCACGCACGCACGCACGCACGCACGCACTTTTCCCTAATTAAAACAATGGCAAATTATATATTGCAGATGATCTTCCGGATTTTCCTCATTTTATTCTCAATAGAATATTCGAAATAGATATTAATAATATTATAAAGATATTTTTTAAAGTGCTCTATTATTTATTAACGCGTTTAAAGATAATATTAATTTACCTATGTCGATAATAATTGAGAAATATATATGGATTATTATTTTCAGGATACAGTATGGCTTCAGTACTTTGGGATATCCCTGAGAATAATTTTCTTTCACTAGTCTTCGTGTTATTCTTGCTACTCTGTCCACACAACTCCACAGGTCAGTAAGAAGTACCTGATAATTATTTTGTTTCATGTTCAATATTTGACAGAAATTAACATAATATTTAAAAGCGCCGATTTACAATATTAATATTTTTCTGTCGAATAATAGAAGGTGATGGCATTATGGCTTTTGTGAATATAATGATTGAATATAATTTTTAATATTTTATTGTTTAATAAATGACATATTTTGTTAATTACTTATTTAATAATTTGCCGTTATGCAATGGCGTTATGCCAATACATATATGCATATGGCATATGGCATTTATTATTTCTATTATTATTTTTATTATTACTTCGAGTATTTCTAAACATTTTTAAGGTATATTTATATAATACATATATAATTATTTAATTTATACATAATTGTATAAATATATATTTCCTTTTTCTTCTTAAACTTATGTATATTGAACACAAATATATGTACACTTTAATACTTTTTATTTAACATTTTATTTGATCACATTTTGAGTTATACAAAGTTAAACAGTTGATATTGTGCTAATATAGCCTCTTATGCATGCTGATAAGATGATTTCTTTTCCAAAATTTCCATATAAGTAAATTATCCGATAAATTGATTGCAGTTTTCTTGACAATCTAATTTATGTTCAGTTATGGATACAACTTAATGAGCGAAATGTGTATACATAGTTTGCTCTGACTGAGGGAACTGAAAAAGAATATGTTTATGACTTCTGAAAATAATGTTCTTTTATAATACTTTATAATTCTTTAAGAAAAAATATTGAGAAATTAATGATTCAAATTTAAAAGTTTCATTTATTTTGTCATTTATTTTGTAAAAACAGTACTTTATAAATTTGCATATCTACTTTCTGACAAGTAAATCAGTATCCGTATAGTCAGTATCAGTATATTAAAAATTTATGGTATGTATTTATTGCTATCTTTTTTAAAATTTTATTTTGA